GGACACAATGGCAAAAAAGGATTCATGTAGCTGACCCCACCTAGTGGGATAAAAGCTTGATGTTGTTGTTGTTGTTGTTGTTATTTATTATTTATATACTATAAAATTATTTATTTATTTATTCATTAACTATAAATGATCTCATCTTAATAATTTATAAATGAAAATTTATAATAAAAATTTAATATATAATTTATAGGTATAAATTATATTTAAACATATAATATAAATTAATAATTTTTAATATTTTACTTTAAAATTATGGAATATATTATTATGTATAAAATTTATTTTATTTGTAGTGTCCAAATTCTCTAAATTCTTAGAATTATAAAATTTTTAAGTTTAGATTGTCATATTAGTATGTGAATTTTATTTTATTTTTAATAATATTATAATTTATTAGTCATCTGGTTTGAAAACAGGTCGAACCGGTTGAACAGTGAATATCTTCCTTTCGATTCGTTGTATGGTTCGATTTTCACAACCTTAGTTATTTACATCAATCAAGTAATAAAATTTTCATTGTTATCTTCTTGTACATCATTAAGGCTGTCAAAATCGGGTCAAGCACTGTTCAACCCAACCTGAACTTGACCCTTTTTTTAGCAAACGGGTCGGGTTTTCGAACCCGAACTGGATCTATTTTGGGTATGTTTTACTAAATTTTTTTATTTAATTCGATTTATTTAAACCTAAATCGAATTAAGGTAAGATTTACTTCAATCAATTTAAAATAAACTAAGCTTAATTCAGTTTGGGCAAGATGGTTTATTATTATTTTTTAAAATAACATTTACTTATTTCATAACAATATTTTAAAACCCTCCTAAATCAATTAAAAACGGGTCAAATCGGGTTGATTTCAGATTTTCGGGTCAACCCAAAACCGACCCGATTTTACAAATGGGTCGAAATCCCTAACCTGAGCCGGGTCGGTTCAAGTTCGGGTTGACTCGAAAGTGAAATTTTTTGGTCAGGTTCGGGTCAAATTTTCGGGTCGTGTCAAATAATGACACCAATATAGATCATGATTGTCCTAATATATAACAAATAATGGGAAAAAATTTAGTCGCTCATTTATGTATAGCATAAAATGGTGATTAAAAAAATACAATTGATCAAAGATATTCGACAATTCGTATAATACAACAAAAATAACAACATCAAGCCTTCATCCCTCTACATGGGGTCGGCTACTTGAATCATTTTTTTTCATTGTGTCTTGTTAAGAATCAAATTTTTATTTAAATATAATCAAATCTTTTTGGATCTATCTCTGCCTTTCTTAACGATAATTCTCCTATAATAAGCACAAGAAAACTATATTGCACACGAAATGACACAAATTCATTGTAATGTTTCATATTTTTGATCAAATTTATATCAGAAGCTTCTAACTTTTTTTTTTTCCACAAGTCGTATCAGAAAATAATTTGATGTTGTGTGTGCAGAAAACTCTGCTCTGTTTTTGACTTTGAATAAATGAAAGCAATTTTTGTTCTCGTAAAAACAGAAATGACAAATAAACTTCTTCTCAATGCAGAAATACGAAAGAGATATGATTACTTACCTGATTCATGGGTGTTAACATGTACTAACGTTAGAGTTTGCCCCTTAGTAATAAGATTGTCGATAGTCCATTTCAATGCATTCTGGCTGCTTTTATCCTTGCTAATGGCTACAGCCACCAATGGAAATCTACCATCTTTTTCCATTGTTCACCTTCTCAATCTCCTCTATGCTTTTCGGTCTATCAAACGCTTTTTCTCTGCAGTTTCTTCGCTTTTTATTCTATAAAATATGTGATTTTTTGCTCTGTCTTCCTCATTCTGATCTGCATTCGCTATTTTCCCGTGTACAGAAAGTGAGGAGGAAGGGGAAGCTGAAATTGGCAAGGTAATTTTTCTTCTCCATTGTTTTAAGGTTTCTGTCGGAGGCTACCCACTCTTATCGGGTAGCCATTTCTTTAATTGGCTGACCTTCTATTTCCATAATAAGCTTGAGGCTGGGAGTTTTGGGAAGTTCCTGTGGCTATTTATGTAGCGCTTCACAATTTGGTATAGGATATTTTGAGGCATTTTGCATGAAAATGGAGTTATTTTTTACCATGTATTTTTAATTTGATGTGTCACATATTATAAATCAAATAATTAAAATGTTAAATAATTTAATTTAATTATTAGATAAATTTATTCTAATTATTAAACATTCACAACTATAATCATTACAGAAAAAATAGTAATAATTTAATTATATTTTTAATAATTATTTTTATTATTCATTAATTTAATTTTATATTTGTAATAATTTAATTAATTTATTTAATGTTTAAGTTGTATTAAGAGGTAACATGTGCATGTTAGGCAAAAATAAAAATCTATCTTTTGCTAAAAACATCAAGATATCATGATAGATAGGTATTTAGTAAAATAACTTATGATTGGGTGATAACATTTTTTTGGAATAAAAAAACCTCAATAATGTAAAAAATAACATTTTTAAAAATTTAAAAATTATATCAATAAAATATAATATGGTATAATATTTTGAATCCATAATTAATTTAAAATTTTAGGATATCCTTTTGTTAAGCCATTTGCCATCCTTGATTCTCAAATACGAATGCTGAAATTGGTGGGCTACTTGGAAAAGGGAAATGAGCATTTTTTGTTAACTAAAATAATATAAATAACTCTTCATTGGTAAAATTCATTTGAAAGGATCATAGGTTAATTCTTTTATTATTTTCTTATGATACAAGTTTTTTTTTTTTTGTAATATTTTAATACAACAACAACAACAACAACATCATCAAGCCTTTATCCCACTACGTGGGGTCGGCTACATGAATCCTTTTTCTCCATTGTGTTCTATTAAAAGTCAAATTCTCGTTTAAATCTAATAAAGAAAGGTCTTTTTTTTTTATTTTAATAATAAATTCTTGCTTCATATACTTCGTTTTTTAAAACTGAATTTGTAATTGCAATTATTTTTAAATTCTAATAATATGACTAATATTTTTTGTGTGTTATTAAGAATTAAGATTATTATCTTTAATTATTGGTTTTTTTTAAAAATCAATTAGCCCAAATTAGTGTTTGAATATCAGTAGTGATTTGTTTTTCAACTGAATAACATTAATAGTTTATATTAAAATTGGATATTGAAAATAGCTAAAATTTAAAGGGGCCAACTTAAAAAAAAAAGCCCTAAATGACTTCAATGAATCAGATTTATGATTTTATTTCTTAAGGAAAAGAAAAAAAAGGTATTAAATCTTTCGTAACAAGAGAAGAATCTCTTATATTGCAAGATGGTGCATTCTAAAATATTTAATTTTTATTCCTTAAAGAAAAATTATATTTATTTAAAAAAAAAAAGAAAAGATACTCAAATAATTAGAGAATTCTATTAAAAATGGAGATCCCTCCAATAAATATTTTTCTGCACGAGAAAATTATCATTAAAAAAAGTTGAATCATGTTATTGAAAAATTATCTTAAAAAAAGTTGAATAATAGTCATAAAAATTATTTAATACCTTATATAATTTATGCATATCATGTACTTTTCTTCTCTAATTATTAAAAATGTTAAATAAATTCAATTAAAAAACAATATATTCTATCATTAAAGTTTGGTATTCTATCAAGCGAGAAGAGAGGTTCACTTAACTTTTCTTTGTCTATTAGTTGAGAGTTTAGACTATCAATTAAGAGGTATTAGGTTCAAGTCTTGCTTGTGTAATGCGTGTTTGTCTTAATTGACTTAAATGACAAAAAAGAAAAAAGGGAGGTCCTAGATTTCCCTTTGGGTAAAGACGAGTATGCCCACTTATTCAAGATGAAAGACCTCATTATGAAGTTAGAGACGAACATTGATCACAATCTACTAGAGCGATTATTAGCTTGTAAGTGCCTTTTCGTTTATTTTTTTTTAATTTTTTTTTAATATTTTCTTTATTATTATTATTATTTATTATTGTAGCCCTTCTTGAACAAATCCCTCTTTTATAACTTGAAGTTGACCCATATTAATCTAAGTTATTTTTGGGTGTTGGCTTATTTTATTTTTTTTTAATTTTAATTTTAATTTTATTTTTTTTAAGCAGTAGAGAGAGCAATAGAGTTAGGTGTTGGCTTATTTCAAATTTTGATTCAGACCAAGAAGTTACTTTACTGTATATATTATTCTCATTAGAGGGCTGTGCTCGCTGAGTACTCGGTCATTCAATGAGTTCTTTAATTATTCGACTTACATTTTTGAAAAATTTGAAATTTCATTTATTTCCTTAATGATACATATACAAGAGAAAAAGTTAAAGAAATTTTATCTTTATATGGATAATAGTTCTTTTAAGTCATCGCTATTCCAAGTTATCAGAATTTCTTTGACTGTGTATGTTTGTAATCAATAGGCTCCAAGGCAGACTACTTTTTTTTTTGGGAAAAATTGGGGCCTAAGCCCATATCATTAAAACAAAAAGAATACAGAATATAAATTGATTGCTACCACCACTAACCAGTAGCAATCAACAAAACCTTATCAGCAATCTAAAAATAGCTGCATAACAAGTAAAAAAAACCTATTACACACTATCAGCTTGAGCTGCAGAAATGAAAAATACAAAAGGCAGTACTTGTACAAGTAAAATAGATTAATCCAATCAAAAATAACAGCCAAACAGACAAAACTGGCTGTAGCACAGATATTGCAAGTCCCGCCAATCAAAAAACTCCCAAGCCATCGAGAACAGGACTCAGACATTTTAAGGAAGAGCTCGATAAGATCCATTGATCCCTGGTTGCCCACAGGCCATCCAAGGGAGGCAGATACGGGAGTAGCATCATAGTCCAGATTTGGCTTTCTGCAAAAGCACACAACGTTTGGACAGAAACCAAAACAGATCCATCAACAGATCCATCAATCCGACATCTCAACATGTTACAGCAGCTCCAGATAATACAGTGAGTTCTTCCAGCCAGCAATTCTATCAGAAATGTTTTTTTCTAACATTAAAAGACAGAGTAGTTTGACAGTTAAAGGCACTTCCAAATCTTCTGCCATTACTCTCTTTCCAAATGTGGTATATAACACAGCAAATAGTCATATAAAAGAAGTATTTTACCCTCTTATTACCTCTATATTTACCTTTAATCCATTCAAATACCTGCATTATAGTGGGTATATATAGAAAAGTTTTTAAACCAGGGATGACTGCAGTGAGCACAGTAAAAGCAAAATCACACTAAAAAAACAGATGAGTGACGGTTTCATTAAAAGCATGACACAGGTTGCAGCTAGCTGGCACATTGATATTCCTGATAATAAGAGCATATGCAGTTTTCAATCCTCGGACTAAAGCCAGCCAAGCAAAAACAGAATGCTTAGTTATGCAATTTTTTGTCCAAATCGATTTATACCAATAGCAGGTTTGATAATCAGAATAGAATTCATCAATGAAGCTTTTAAACTTATATGAATTGCTATTTTTCCACAACAAACAATTACCATCAGTAGCATTAATGCTGAATCCATCAAAGATATATCTCAGAGACATAGGAAAAGTATCCGAAAAAACCCACTGATTTCCACAGATTAAAGTGTCAAGAGTAATATCAGGACAATAGCCCTGAAAAGAACCTCCCAAGAAATCAGTGATAGTGTGGTTGTGGCACCAATGGTCAAATTTGAGAGAAATAGGAGCAGATCGTGTAATGCTAAAGGTAAAGCAATGCTTGACATCCAGAGCAGTTTTGCATATTGATTTCCAGAGTTTGGAAGCAAAGCAGGAGGAGGCATCCAAGGAGATTTATAAACGCAGAGCAACCAATTGGAAAGAGGGGAAGGACCATTGTACATCCTGTAGATAACTGAACAGTTATAAGCATATTGTAGAGCAGAGATAGAGGGGATACCCAAGCCACCTTTGTTTTTGGGTAAACAGATCTTGTCCCAAGCCACCATATGCAATTTATTGACAACCATAGATTCCCCAAAAAATAAGAATTTAGAGTTAGTTCTCTTGATAAATTTGTAAAGAGTTTTAGGCATAATAGATCCCCTAATCCAATAAGCAATAGTGTTCTGAATGGTGAATTTGATATATTGCATTCTACCTGCAAATGACAGCAGGTGAGCCTTCCAACCATTCATTTTCTTGTTAACATAATCCATAAGGGGCAAAAAGTCAATAATTTTCAGTCTATAAAAAGATAGTGGGATGCCAAGATAGGTAATATTGTTGACAATGTTGTGAATAGAAAGGGCTTGACAAACCTCCTGAGCATTCCTCAGATTCCTAGGAAACATAATGGAACACTTATCATAGTTGATTTTTAGGCCAATAGTGATAGCAAATTCCGTAAGAATAGAAGCCAGGATGCTACAGTTCTCAGTAGAGGCCTCCCCAAAAATTAAGACATCATCTGCATACAGCAAGTGAGATAGAGAGTAATCATTATAAGAAATACCTCTAAAGCCTCTATTCTCCAGGAGATTGGAGAAAGCATCCATCACAATACAAAAGAGATATGGACTACGAGGGCATCCCTATCTAAGTCCAGCAAAAGAAGAAAAATAACCCTCTAAAGTCCCATTAAGTAAAATGGAATAATTGACATCCGAGATACAGACTTTAATCCAATTAACAAAAAGACTAGGGAAGCCTTTCTGTAGCATTCGCTCCAGCAAAAAATTCCCGGCTTACAGAATCA